TTATGGGATCTCTCCTGTTTATCAGAAAAGGATCTGGTCAGGGACAAGTGGCAATAAAAGCACCTGAGAGGCCTTGAGTACCCACCATCCCTGAGGCAAGGCCTTGTGAAACAGAAAACAACCCCTTCCAGAGGCCAAGGAGATTCTGAAGGTCATTTATTACACAGGGACCATGCCTTGGGAATATCCTGCCTGAAGCTGCTCCTCCTGCCTTAAGAGAGGTGAAACCTGTGTTTTTGGGAACACCCCATGAAACCTATCCCTGGCTGTGGGGCAGAGGGACAGACCCCACCGGGGACACCCACAGGGGAGGCCAAAATGTCACCAGGTGACCTCTAAACCATGCAAGTGATTAAATCCACATTCACCTACTATGAAACAAGTAGCTGTTAATTAACTGCTTGGAGCATGGAAGGGGTCGGGAGCCTCCCTTGCACCTCCCTTGCACCTTTAGCCTGGGCAGTGCTGGGTGGAGGTGGCCAGAGAGCCCCCAGATGGCTGCTCAGGATGCTCAGATCCCACGAGGAAGACTCAGCTCCTTCTTCCTCCTCCCAGACGGCCCCAGCACTCAGGGAAGAGAGCACTGACCCCTTCAGAGACTGGGCTGCTCCAACCTGCAATCAACAGCTCAGCTTATCAAAGGCTGTTTCCTGAGCGAGATCTAACCTTGGCAAAGCCGTCCCTGGTTATAAATGTTACCTTTGATCAATACCTGTCACAAATGCATTGGAATGAATTGGCTACACCTTGCATTTTAAACCACATTTATTGCTCCCTGCACAGCCCTGCTCTGCACGCTCCAACAAAGAGAGGAAAAAATGGGTTTCTTTTGGAGCACGACATCCATGATGTCCCTGGCCATGCTGGAGCAAGGTATCCAAGGAATGAACGAGCTGCTGGAAGATTTCTGGTGTGGCAGCATCAGGTGCTGCCTGAACTGAAGCAGGTGGGACTGTGCCACCTGGAGCATCTCCCATCAGTGACAGCCCTGGCCATGCCATGGATCCAGGGCTCTGATACTGGAGCTGGAGGGAGAGCTCCTGCCAGCACTTTTGCCATTCTCTACAAATATAAATATAAAAATACATTAATTTTAATTATAAAAAAATTATCAACTGCAAACCCTTTGGAAACAGCTCCCTGCCTTGTACCTCCCTGCACTCCAAGAGAAAACCCATGGCATACCCATGTGCCTTTACCACACCTGCTTTTACCACAAACCCTCCCAGGTCTTCTCCCATCCCTGGGAAAAACCCTGTGAAATAAAATTTACGCATCACATGGAATAAAAGACCAGAAAAGGGGGCTGCCAGCTGGGGCGGGGGGGAGAACATGCATGTGGAAACTCTCCCTTTTTTGTGCTGCTGCAAGAAGTCAGACACTAAACACAAACTTCTGGAAAACACTGGGAGGAAGAAAGTTGAGGAGTCTGGAAGTGAAGCCATCAGAGGGATCCTCTGCCTTCTGGCTGCAGGATGGAGTGGCTGTAAATCTCAAGGAGTCTCCCTGACCACTGGAGACCCCAGTGACCAAAAAAGGGGTCCCTGTGAAGGTGATCAGCTCCCAGGGAGCAGTTTCCCCCAAAAGCCTGGCCTTACAGGCTGCTAAAAACGCTTGGCTGCCTCATTAAAGCTCCTGACTTGGAACGCGTGGCCGTGTCTGAGGAGCAGGAAACGCTCAGCGAGCACACGCCAAAAAGTCCTTGACAGCTGTTAGTACCTCCAGGCTTCACATTTAAAACAAGCCTTCAACCTGAATTACCTCCTGGCATGCAAAAGTAAAATAAAGCCATTTTTAATTATATTTCATTCCTCGATGTCTGACTATTAAAGTCACCGCCGGGTGACCCGCAGGAAGAGTCTCCGCTCGAAAAAGCTGCATGAGGGGGGGACACGAGGCTGCCTGGGAGCAAGGGAGGGACAGCACTGCAAATCCAGCCACTGCAAGGGAAAAAAGGATACTTCTGCAGGTTTTTTTAAGCATTAACGTTTTTATTTCAAAAGTCAAATAAAGAGCACTGGGGTCTCGACACAGGTTTAGTGCCAAACCCGCAACTTTGCAATTCCTTTGTTATCTTGCCTCAAGCCCTTATCTGATTTTCCAAGAGATTAAGAAATCTTGACATAGTGTTTATTGCCCGAGCTAAAATCCCTCCACGAGACAACCTGCTCTATCAGTCACCAGTTTACTGTGGGTTATAAAACCACAACACAGAGGGGTTCCAGCCACTTCACCTTAAAATTGGTGACTCGTGCAGAACACTGATGAAAACAGATGCTTTTCTGCTAAAAAGTCAGGATTGTATTCCTGGGTTTAAACCCTACTCTCTACCCCCTTTCCATTTCAAGCTGCCTTGATATATTTTTCAGAGTTTGCTCCTCTGAACATCATCACGTTCAACATCATCCACATTGATATTTAGCAAATTATTCACTTTTAATACAGCAACAAGATTTGTCCTGCAGCCACTTTGTTGCCCAGAGCAGCTGTGGCTGCCCCATCCCTGGAAGTGTCCAAGGCAGGCTGGAGAGGGCTTGGAGCAAACTGGGATAGTAGAAGGTGTCCCTGCTCATGGCAGGGGGGGAATGGGATGAGTTTTAAGGTCCCTTCCAACCCAAACCATTCCATGATTCTATGAACTATGGCCATGATGCTCTGACAACACCAACCCCTCAGCTCCTTCATATTCCTCTCCTCTTGTCCCTCCATCACCACATTCCAGCCCCAGACACCAGCACTGCAACCTCATCCTGCCTTTTACATCCGAGCTGTGCTTCCCAAATCGGAGCATCCCCGGAATCCCAAGGATTCCTGCATGGATCCCATCCTCCTCGGGAAACCAGGAGCCAGGGAGAGCAGAGGAGTGGAGGCTGTGGATGGCTCTGGTTATGCAGCAACCAGCCAAGGTGAGAACACGCTCACGGGGCGCTGATGGCACAGCCCTTCCCATCTCCTTCTCCTGCCCGGAGCATCCAACGCCCCTCCAGCAGGCAGGAGCCCTGCAGCAGCTCCAGGGATGGGGTCTGGCATCACCCACAGTGCCAGCCACAGCACAGTCATCCCACACCCAACACCAGCTCCTGCTCCTTGACGTGGCTTCCAGCAGCCAAAAATCCCAACCCTCGGTGGCAGCTCAACAGTCCTAAGACTGAATATCTTCCTTTTTTCTTTTTTTTTAAAGGAAAGCCCCAAGGTGAAGCACCTGGAGGAAAGCTCAGCTCTCATTTGAAGCATGGAGCTGGTACAAAGCCCCATCTGTGCTGACACAGCGTCCCTGGCAGCCAGGCCAAGGTGATGGACCCGTTCCCAGAGTGACCCTGGGTCACCTCCCGCTCCACCACCTTCCCTTTCCCGAGCAGGCAGCGCTTCTGGGATTTTCTTCCTCGTTAAGGAAACATGCTTCACAATAAATAAACCCAGAATAGCAACGGAGCAAGACACAGTCCAGACACCCACCAAAACAAATGACAGCACACTGCAGACACACCTCGGTCCCAGGGAAGAGGGAGGAAACAAGGACAAACATCAGCTGCCCTGGGAACACGTGTTTCTGAAGCACGACAAGAGGGCTGGGAGGTGTGAGCAGCCCCAGCACTGCTCAGCACTTGTGCACCCCCTGCAACCCCAGAAATCACTGACCCAAGCGTGGCTGCACCCGGTGCAGAGCCAAACAGGAACTCCCATTCCTAAATCCATGCTGTGTTTGGGCCAGAAAAGGTTCAGAAAGGAAGGAAACTCTTCTGCAGCACCGAAGGAAAACAGCAAGTTTCACTGATTTCTTTACCAAGCGAAAAGATTCCAAAACAAAACCCAAGGAAAAGGCACTACTGGAAACAGCAATATTGGAAATAACTCTGTTGTCTTTTTTGGAGGGGAACGGGAAACAACAACATCCTTTACAGTATCCTTTGCCAGGCACCGTGGGGCTCCAGGAGCCTCCCAGGCTGCAGAAGCACATTAAACACCGTCAGCTGCACGTGGGAGAGCCTTTGGAGAGCTCAGCTTTCCCTGCAAACCACAGCAGCAAAAAGCTGGGAAGTCCAAAATTAGAAGCAAAGCCCCAAAGGACAGTTCAATAAGTCATGCTGGTGTGATCTCTCTGCAAGTGGCATCTTTCTGATCCACAGTGAAAAAAGGGGGAAAAGTCCGGTTTCTTCCAAGTATTCCTTTACTCAACCCCACTCAGCAACACCACCAATGCCAAGCTTTGGTTCCTGTGAATTTTGGATAATTTATTCTTGGTGCAGTCAGGGTGAATCCCTATCACCTTGGCTAAGGAAAGACAACCCCTGGGTGTTGTACAGATCTCCTTTGCATCCCTGGGCACCAAACAACCAGCACGGCAATATTTAAGCTGACTACAACTTATTTCCTACCTCAGTGGAAACTTCTCAAATAGCAAATAAGCCTTATCTCATGCCACGGCAAGGCAGAGCGACAAAACGCACCCAATACAAGAAGGATCGAGAGAAAACACTTCTTTTAAGCATCTTTATTTTCAAGCCAACGCCGTGAGGTTTTTGACGCGGCTTTAGCGATGTTCCTCGTCGGGGCGAGCCACACGTTAAGGACCCAAAGGGCTGAAACTCTGTTTTATCATTAAATCACAAAAACATCCCGTCTCCCAAACAGCCGAAGGGCTGGAAGCCCCAAACCCGCGCAGCCCGTTCCCGTTCCCGGGGCCGGCCGGGCAGGTGCTATTTTTAACCACGATAAGAAGCGTCTCAAAAAAAAACCAAAAACACCCCAAAACTGAACGCGCTCCTCGCTCGGGCAACTCCCACCCTCCCGTCGGGGCCGGGGGCTCCGGGAGAGAGAGCCCGGGGCTGGGTAGGGATGGAGGGCGGGGGGGATGGAGGGAGGGGATTGCTGGAAAGGGGGGGGGCTTCAACATCACCCCGGCGGGGACACGGCGAGGGTGACCCGGGGAGCGGCCCCGCCGCCGGCGCGGCCTCGCGGGGGAGTCGCCCCCGCCCCGGTGCCCTCCCCGGCGCCGGTACCTCGATCTTGTCGACGCTGCGGGCGCAGCCCACCACCTTCATGCCGTGCTGCACCAGCGCCCTCGCCACGGCCGCGCCGATGCCCACGGAGGCGCCGGTGACCAGCGCGACGCGGCCGGACCAGCGCTCCATGGCCACGGCCCGGCCCCGCCGCCGCCGCGCACAATGCACCGCCCGCCCGCCCCGCCCCGCCCCGCCCCGCCGGACACGCCCATGGACACGCCCATCGCGGGGGGACACGCCCATCGCGGGGACACGCCCCCTCCCGGTGCGTGCGCTGAGTTTGCGGGGGCTCAGCCCCAGGGTGGGAAAAGGGAGCGAGGGTGGGTCGTGCCTGGCTGGAATGTTTGGGTTGGGCTTTGCCTCCCCCGCGGGAGATGAGAATTACCCTGGAAAGGTTTGGGGTGGGAGAGAGCTCAAAGGGCTTTGTGTTCCAGTGCCCTGCATCCCAAAAAACACCCTGGGCTGTTTTATCCAATCTGTTTTATCCAATCAGCCCTGCGGGTGCAGGGATGGACAATGGAGCAGAGACCCTGCAAACAACCCCCAGCTGAGTGTGGGACTGGGGAGGGAGAAAACGGGTGTGGAGGGAGCAGAGGGCAGAGCAGCTCTGGGAAGGTGCTGTCAACACCCTCACAAGGGTCAGGGATGCTCAAGTAATTCCCAGAGACTTGCGAAGAAACAGATTAATAGAAACAAAAAAACCCCCCCAAAGCTGCGAAAAGTCTGACATACAGATATTTATGAAAGAAGAAAGGGGGGGGAGTTGGTGATTCCCTTTGTTCAAAAAGCACAGAGCCTGGCACACTGCTTTTTGCAAGGATCTGTCCTTTCCCAGGCCAGGTTCCCTCACCTTACACCCCCCCTCCACACAGCCATCCAGGAATTCTTCCTGCTGGGAAGGAGTGCTCAGAGTACAAATATAGACACCCACTTTTACTATGCATATTAATAAATATTCTTTATTTAAATTTTGCACATTGCGCTTTAACATATTACATCCAAAACATTTTGCAAATGGATGTCTACTTTGTAAAATCTTATATTCAGCTCCTTGTCATTCTGTACAGAATTATAGGTACAACATTACTTTGCCACTAGTTTGCTTCTTTGTAAGTCTCACAGGAAGAGAAACATTGAATGAAAAGAGATGGCTTAAATTAGAAGAGAGGCTTGCACAGCTACTCAACTAAAGATACAAGCCTGGAGAAAGAACAAAATTAAGGAAATCACCTCCACCAGCCTCCCCCAGAGGAAAAAAAAAAAAAAGAAAAAAAAAAACCAAGAAAAAAAGAATCACATTAATTTAAGATAAAATTTTGCCGTTAAGTCACTAAATTAAGTCTGGAAGGAGAAGGCGCAGTAGTCATCTCGAGTTTCAGTGACAGACAGAGAGGGGACCGGGCTCAGTTGGCTCCAGCTGTTGCCAGCCAGCTGTTGCAGACGGGCCCCTTGTGGTCGTTGAGGCGACAGTACTTGTTGAACTTCTCCTTCAGGTGCTGCCGGTACTGCTCCCGGTTGCTGTAGAAAGACTTGTTGTTTGCCATGAAGGACTGGATCTCGTCCTGGGAGATGAACAGCTCCTCGTCAGAAGTGCACTCGGACTCGTCCTGCGAAGGGGAACAGGGATTTCAGAGCTGCAGCACATCTGGGGGCACACACACAGCCCCAATCCCACGTGGCTCATGCAGCCACCCAACTCACACCCAGGACTCTGCTGCTTCCTGGGGTGAGAGGCAGCCACAAAGTCATGAAATCATTCACATTTCCATTGGAAGAGGATGATTTTCGTTTGAGGGTTTTTGGGGGAAAAGGAGGGGAAAGAAAGAGGAAAAAAAAAAAAAAAAAGGAGGAGGGGGAAGAGGGGAAAAAAAGCAGGGGGAAGAGGAAAAGGGAAGGTAAGAAAGAGGAAAAAGGGAGGGAAGAAAGAGGAAAGGATCTAAATAAGGGGAAGGAGATGGAAAGGAAAGGGAGATAGAAGAAAGCTGTCCAAGGAGCCTGCAGTGGGAAGTAACATTTGAGGCCTGAGGGCAGCAGTAATACCCACTTCATGTTATGGAATAATGCAACCCTTGACAATGAACACTTCTGCCACTGCATTCCAGGGACAACTTCTCCTCCCCTGCAAAGCATTTCAGCCATAAACTTCCCAGAGAACGTGCACCAGGCAAACAAACCAAACACTGGGAGTCCAACAGTTCCTCAGTGGGATCTGAGTTCTAAGCCTCACCCTCCGCCCGAGTCTTAAAGCAGGATGCTACAACCTCCAACTCCAAGGGAGCCATTACTTACAAGGAGTTCCACTAAGCTTTTGGCACCTTTTCCAGTATCAGGAACGAGTGACATTTCTGTAGGTTCTGCAAACTGTGACACGTTTTTCATATGCTCAAACCAAGGCAACTGCTGGCTGCTTTTGTCTGCGCTACAGCAGCTCTCAGCGTGTGTGTCTTTGGTCTTGTCGCGATGGAACTCTGTGTGCGTGAGATTCCCTGAGGTCTCTCTGGTACCTGGATCTGCCAGACAGCTTCCAAGTTTCTGAATCTGAAATGGAAAACAAGCCTGGAATGAACCACCCCGTGGTATTCGATACGGAACATTCAAGTTTCAGGTGGGAGCAGAGGGGAAAAAGGGGAAGAGTTCAAAGGAGAGCAAGGATAGGTATTTTTAAATGTGTGCCTGGGATGGGCAGGGATGTTAATTCACTGACAGTGAGCAAAAGTGCACATGCTTAGGATTATAGTAGAGACTCTTTCCGCCACAACCTACTCCAGGAAGGACCTCAATTCCAAAACTTGGATGGAGAGAGAACAGGAGATCCCTGTTACCGCGTTCTCAGCATTAAGCACAAACGAGACTTAAAATCCTCCTGTAACTACTTTCAAACTTAAGCATTTAGAGAAGCATCTGGCAGAGCCATGGTCCTTACATGGTCATTCTCACACTTCAAAGCTTTGCTTTTCTTTTTCTTCTTTTTGTTTTTGCCTTTTGTGTTGTTCTCTTCCGCGTTAGCCCAGCATTCCACACAGCTGTCCCCATCCTCCTCCTTGTCGTCGCAGCGATGGACACAGGGATCGTCTCCTGTAAAAGGAGATGTTAATTCTAAGCTACTGCAGTTTTGGGGACACTAAAGCATTATTATCTTCTTCCCAAACCTACCATTTTCATCGTGGTTGCAGATGCCTTCGGTGCAGGCCACATCCGACCCCTCCCGAGACCCCGTTTCACTGCCCTCCATGCTCGATGAATAGCCACAGTCACTGCCAGTACAGTGTGGAGATAAACCTGAGGCAAGGCCAAAAATCACTGTCATCCACAGGAACTGCTGCATGTTCTTTAGTTATGCCTCTACAAAAAGGAATTCATAGAATCCCACACTGGTTCAGGTTGGAAGGGACCTTAAAAAATCGTCTCATTCCACCCTCCTGCCGTGGGCAGGGACACCTTCCTCTAGACCAAGGGAACCTCCCACTAGAGCATCTCTCCAAAAACCCAATTGTTTTTAAAAACAGCTGAGCCCTGTTTACCCCTAAAAAGCAAAGTTTTTTCAAAATGAAAAATAATAACAATCAACATACCTTTCTTGATTTTAGGTGAACCTAATAGGGTACCACTACTAGGACAAGTGCAAGAGGTGCTTTCATTAGTAACAATTACTTCTACACAGTTGTTGGCTTCTTCGGTGCTACCACAGGCTTTGCAAGTGCTTTCTGTGAAGCTGGAGTTCTCCTTAAAACACAAACAAAACACACTTGCAGGCACTGAAAGCAGCTTTGCAAAGGACACTCCTTCCACAACAAAAACCAGCTGGCACCGACTGATAACAGCATTGCCTCTAATTCTTCACAAACACAGGACAACTAAACAAATTCCAACCAACTTTCCTACAGTAATCTGACCTACAGTCAACTAAGTTCAGTCAACATATCCTGGATAATAGCTGCACTTAGTCAATTAAAGCTTCCTCCTCTCCAAAAGTTCAATGGGAATTGTCTACAAGTAGCATTTGATTTCCTGTATTAAGTGATCTTGAAGGAGTTATAGTTGAAAAATATTCTGGCATAAGCTAAACCCCAGATTTAGGATTTAAAAAAAGAAACCCCAAGCCCCCAAAAGCTGAGGAGTTCCAGGTAACCACTTTACAAAGACTGTACTGATCTGAAAAAGTTTTAAATTCCACCAGTAACCCAAACTAGTTCCCAAAATACAGTAAAAACCTCTCAAGAATCCCACCATGAACAGAGATCTGATGAATGAAGCACCTGAAAGCCCCGTTTACCTTTGCCTGATTGATTTCCTTCTCTTCTGTTGCCTGCAGAGGAGCAGGGATCTCACACACACACTTATTTTTCCGTCTGTTCTTCCGTTTTTGGCGTTTCTTCTCTTGTTTCAGCTCTCTCACTCTTTCTTCTTCTGAAAATTCTTCACAGAGCTGTTCCAATCGACTAATACCTTGCACTTTTTCCACAGCCATCTGTTTGCAAGAGGTTAGATCTATTTATAGCAGTTATCACAATTCAAGCTTTTACATTTATAAAAAAGGAGGAGGAAAGCAGCCAGTCATGAAGTCCCAGCAACACAACCCTTGACTACAGAAGAAAAATGCCCATCCAGATTTATTCCCTCTGTTCAGACTGCTGAAGATATTTCCATGGAGGAGCTCTGTGTTTCACTTATGGCCCAGATTCACAATTTTCAGTGAAAAGCTGCTGAATTTTATGCATTTTGGGATCTGTTTACGTGGTAGATACTCTGATTATTTAACACAGCAGCACAAAAAAGCCACATCAGAACTACTGGTACAGAATTCCAGGGTAAGCAGTGAAAAATCTACTCATTTCCTAGGCAGTCCAACCTGAAGTGTAGGTGTATCTCAAAATATAGCAAGTATCTAATTAAGTTCCTTAATACTAAATTTAGAACAAATATCATAATGCCACATCTAGGTACAGAGTTAACAGAATATAATTAAACCAGTCAACTATTCTGGATTGATGCTCTTACAGAGATAAAAACAAATTCAGAGGGCTTGGTTTTGTTTTGGGGTTTTTTTTCCCCCAAATCACTCTGGAAATTCCTTTAGCCAAAATGAGCCCACATCATTCCTACCCAGCTTAGAAAAGAGCCCCACATAAGTTCTGTATTTCAAATTCACAGCCATCCTTG